CGATTCCTTGAAGTAAATCTTCTTGAGTATTTACTTCAGTCGAGTAAACTAGGTCTTTAATGACCCCCAAAAATAGAAATCCAATGGATTTAGGTCAGGTGAACGCGGCGGCCACGCTATAGGACCTCCTTGGCCTAACCACCTGTCTGGAAAATTGACATTCAACCAATTTCGAACATTACGTCCAAAATGTGCAGGGGCGCCATCATGTTGAAAAAACATATTTTCTTGAAACTGCTGGCGCACATCCAATGGTATTATATCCATGAGCTCATTCTGAAGAAGGTTCAGATACACCTCTGAATTAAGACGATTAGGAAGTACAATATGCCCAATTACTTGACCTCAATTACTCCTGCCCATAAGTTCAATGAAAATCTATGTTGGATATTTGTACGGCGAACAACTTTTGGATTTTCATCTGACCAGTGATGCATGTTACGGAAATTAAGAGCGCCATTCCTAATAAATATTGACTCATCCGACCATAATATTCCAGGAATCGTGTTTTCATTTGCTAATATCCACTGGCAAAACTCAATTCGTGGTAAAAAATCGACCTCCGTTAAACGCTGCACCCGTTTAAAATGATAAGGATGTAATCCTTGTCATTCTTCCTATCTAAAATTATTATTTTTAGGATAACCATCAGATAGGTATTCATAAATTTTTCTTACTATTGATCGAGGTATATTCATACTTTCTGAAACATTTCGTATGCTTATTTGAGGATTATTTTCAAACATATTTAAAGCAATATCCATACGATGATTTCCCAGTGGCCTTCCTGAGCCCTGCATGCGCTGAAAACTTCCATGGTTTGACAAATTCCGGTGAATATCAGTAAACATTCGACGTCCAGGTACGGCAGCCAATGGACTGCCATTGCAAAACCCGTACACAAAATGCATGTCAGTGAGTTCTCTGTCTATAAGTCTTGGCATTTTAAAACGATTTAATAAACATTTAGATTATAGTCTAGTAATTTTGCACTGCTAACAACGTCAGCTTGACGTCAAAATAAGTCATAACAAATCAAAACAACTTTTGTTTGCAGTCATGGCTAACTACGTATAATCAACAATTGATTTAAATTCGCAGTACATTTCCTATCATGTGAAATTTTTTTAGTTTGATTTTATTCAAAAATGGCACAATTTCTCGATATGCAATAGGAGTACCTTGTTTATGTAGAAAACCCTAAATTTTCAAATTCTAAAATTGAATTTCAAAAATAGAATCACACAAAAATTTTGAGGCTAAAATAACCTGAGTCCGTCTCTGTTACATACGCTTCCAAACAAAACTGTCTAAAATTGTTAATATTTTTAAATCCAACAAAATACTAAGCTAGAATACCAAATTTTATGTCTTTATCTCAACATTAAGGAAACACCATCTTCAGGAGAGCGCCTTTGAAAGACCGTAGCGCCCTTAGAGGACGTTTGTAGACCTATGTTTATATAAACTTTTCATCCAATTTTAAGCTCTAGAAACCGCTGGTAGATTATTGCACACTTTTTTCGGGACACCCTGTATAACTTTCCTCATACAACGCGTGATATACGCTGGGGTACGAATTTTCTTCGGTACTATGCACTTAAAATTTAGTTTATTAATGCAAAACAAAATATCCGTTTTTGACCTCAGTTGTTCAACCTGATGAAACCTTGTGCACTAGAGTAATTTGGGACGCTGAGTTCGAGTATGAACAGTAAAAAATGCTGAAGTTTTTCGAAACGTAATTGCGGGTAAGAAAATAAGTATTTTAGGGCTTCCCGCCAATCTCAACGAGCAAGTGACACCAGATTCCTGAAATATCAAACTGATTTACCCAATGAACGGATTTTGACCAAGATGTCTGCTTTAAAGTTGCTCGATACAAACTTCTCACTTTTATCAACCGGTCTTACAAGCTTGTGATACTCGGCGCACTAGTGCAATTTTGGGCGACGATTTCAATCATATCCTAGAAAAATGCTAAACTATCGCGAAAACCTATTTATTGTTTCTTTGAATAGTCTTTTAAACTTTCTTATCGGATAATTTTCATTTTTATCCTCTATGCGACTCAATGTACAAGAACACTCAACTTTGACAGCCGTCATGATCACCAGTGGATAGGTGATTTTGTATGTTAAGCTTCTAAAGCAATGGCGAGTCCAAGGGAGGTGTCCTGGGGTACAAGAAAAAAAGTTCTAACGTGTTTAACCCCTCCCCCTTAGTTGGGCGTCTTCCTGATCTTACATCCTGAGGGCTCCCCATCCCAGAACTTATTGAGCGAATTATGCCAAAGTCATCATATGGACCCTCTCTCCCAAAAAAATCCACCCCTGATCTGAAGTAGTCTTAAGGAACTTTAAAGTCAAGTATCACACAACCTTTCATTCCATTTAAAAAAAAATGTTCCAGAATGGCGCCCAGCCGCCATCTTGAAATGCTCAATTGTCACTTTCACGCTGAAATACAGGGTGTTTCAGTTTATTGTTGCATAACTTTAAGATTCGATAGGACTTTTAAAATTAATGCATAAAGTCTATATAAACATGGGTCGAAAAATGCGTGGCTTCCTAAATACAGGGTGTTTAAATTTACTTTCTAAAATAGTTTCTTTTAAATATTTCGAACAATATTTGATGTATAACAGTGAAATTTGGTATACAAGGGTTTTTTGGTACGGCAAAACCAACCATGGGCATAGTTTTACTGTAGCCGCTAGAAGGCGCTCTCTATTGTACCTGTAGTGTATTAAAATTTTTTCTTAGTGCAATTTTTCGCTTTTTGAATATAAAAACTGATTCTTCGCACCTTTCAACATAAAAAAGCTCTCTTGCGAATTTTCGTTGTAGTTAGCCGTTTTTGAGATATTTCGATTTTTAAGGTTCGATGCATTTTTAATTATTTATGATAAAATAACGTTAAAAAGTCAGTATCTCGATAATTTTTAGAAGTAGGCTGTGCCTGCAAATATTTTTGAAATTGAAAGCAGAATAAGGTTAAGCGTCAATTAGTTGACAGTCAGTTTTGTTGTCTGTTGAAACCTGAAACGTTTTTTTGCAATTGCGAATGCACGAAATTTAGTTTCTTTTACCTGTTTTTTTTGTAAGTTTTATAAAAATGCCATTTTTATTCTCAAATCAAGAGTTAGCGGATATTCAATTTGTGTATGGCTTTGTAAATGGAAACGCAGCAGAAGCAGCCAGAGAATACGCACGAAGATTTCCAAACAGACGACATCCAACTCGCTCAGTATTTGTAAGAGTGCATCGCCAAATAATTGAAAATGATTTTGGAAATCTTCAAAGGGATCAAAACATAAATGTTCGTCAGCGCAGATTTGCCCGTATGATTCTGCGTGAGTTTGATAGAGATCCGACCACAAGTGTTAGGAGAGCTTCTGGTGCCTTGGGAATTTCAGCAAGCCATGTTCACCGTGTTCTTAGAAATGACCATAGACGTCCTTACCATTTGCAACCTGTGCAAGGACTACAGCCAGGGGACGGAGAACGAAGAATCACATTTTGTCAGTGGATTCTTGATAGAACTGATAATAATAGGGAATTTTTAAGTAACGTTTTATGGACCGATGAGTCATGCTTCACTAGACGTGGAGTGGTAAATTTTCATAATCAACATATTTGGTCGCATGGAAATCCGCATGCAGTTCGGGAAAGAAATTTTCAGCATGAATTTAGGGTGAACGTGTGGATTGGTATCTACCGTAATCGACTATTTGGACCCTACCTTTTGCCTGCAAGGTTAAATGCTGCGACCTTCTTGGAATTTTTAAAGGCTGAACATGCAAATATGTGGGATGATGTTATGTTAGATTTAAGAAGATTGGCCTGGTTCCAGCTTGATGGTTGTCCAGCTCATTATTCGAGAATAGTTAGAAACTGGCTGGACGTAAATTATCCAGAAAGATGGATCGGCCGTGGAGGACTAGTCGCCTGGCCTTCACGATCCCCTGACCTAAATCCATTAGATCTCTTTGTGTGGGGATTTCTAAAAGAAAAAGTGTACCAGACTCCCGTAACCACAAGAGATATGCTAATAGACAGAATCAGGAATGCATGTGATGAAATAAGGCCTTATTTGAATAATGCTATACCACGTTCGATCATTCGTAGATGTGAATTGTGTATTGAACAATTGGGTTTACATTTCGAGCAACTACTTTAGATTTTGTATGTTTGTCCTAACTATCCAATAGCATTTTAGTTGTAAATAATTAATTCAATTTGTTAAAAATAATATTGGAAAATTAAACAAATTAATATTCTGTTTTTTTGTGTTTATTTGGAGTTAGGAATTATTGCTGTGTTTAAAAACACAATCTAAGCGATCATCTTAATTACTTGTAATGCCCAAATCGAAAATGTAAAAAAAAAATTTCCCATAAATAATTAGAAATCGAAATATCTCAAAAACGGCTAACTATAACGAAAATTCACAAGAGAGCTTTTTTATGTTGAAAAGTGCGAGGAATCAGTTTTTTTATCCAAAAATCAAAAAATTGCACTAAGAAAAAAGTTTCGGTCATTTTAATACACTACAGGTACAGTAGAGAGCGCCCTCTAGCGGCTACAGTAAAACTATGCCTATGGTTCGTTTTGTCGTACCAAAAAACTCTTGTATACCAATTTTCACTGTTATACATCAAATATTGTTCGAAATATTTAAAAAAATTATTTTAGAAAGTAAATTTAAACACCCTGTATTTCGGAAGCCACGCATTTTTCGACCCATGTTTATATAGACTTTATGCATTAATTTTAACAGTTCTATCGAATCTTAAAGTTATGCAACAATAAACTGAAACACCCTGTATAGTAGAGAATCATGCATCAGTAAGTTGCAAATCGAAAATAACCATCCAAACCTTCATAAATCGATATTTCAAGATTGGAGATACATTCACTTTTTTGAGGTTATGTCCTAGGGCGCCGGTCGATCGTCTTCTGTCCCGTCCGACCGCGGCAAAGCCGTCTAGATGTCTCGACTGCTTCGCCGTTCTCCAGTCCGCGGCGAACCTCGCGATAGTGTCCACCGCACACTTCGATCCGCGAGCTTCGCACCGCCGTTGCCGCGAGCTTAAATTTAGTGACGCGGCGTATCGAATGCAATCTAGCGTTTGTTTTTTCAGTGCCTTCTTGTTTGTAGAGCTCGATGACAAGTGCGACGCGGTCAAAAGTTTTTCTAGGATGACAGGCAGAGTCGCTATAGCGGGTCTCCATTATTGGTGACTTGTGGTACTCATGATTCTGTTAACACATCTTGTTTTCCGTCAGATTTCAAAGAGATTGGAGACTTTCGGCAATCACAAGTACCTCATACATAAATGTTAGCGCGCGCCTTTCATATACATATATTGTGTATAAGGTGAATGTCAAATGGAGTCAACGTTTAACGTTTACCTATACGATATTTGTCATTGCCAGATTTCTCTATTGTTACTTCGATGGTCTCTTCAGATGCACATGGAAAGGTTGATGGGCAAAGTCCTTTTAATGACTCCTAATTGATTTCGTGGTATTGAATGATTTTGTCAAAAAACTATGCTTTGATTGTTCTTTGAGGCTTGAATCCATGTATGCTGTTAGAATTTTTGACCAATCAAATAAGCTTACCATTAGTATCTGATAATATACAATTATTTATCATTCCCGATAGTGTGTTAGAATGCATATCGATATTTGAAAAGTAAATATTTGAAAGGTGATATATTTGGTATACGGAGAGGTGGGTAAGCTGGACATTCTTGATGATAAGAACTAATTGTTAGGTTCAGAAACTTAATTGAAAGTTCATAATAAATAATATTTGAAAGCATCAGAGATAAAGGCAATAATTATAGTCTTCTTAGAATCGACTCCTAGAGACTTGGCATAAAAACATAATAATTCAGGTATCCATCGTAATTGACGGGTTCTCCTCTTCATCCCTCACTGTCAACATGGGTGTTCCCCGGGGATGGGTTTTGGCTCCGACACTGTTCCTCTTACATATCAACAACCTCCTTTCCTGTACGATCAACCTAATCCACAGAGCTTCGCTGATGATGGCACTCTACATGCAGGAATTCAGCGTTATAAGCCGATCTCTGCCAGTGAGCTGGAAAAAAGAAGACTAGCAGCGACCTGCTCTCCGACGAGAGACCTGGAGGTTATCACTGCATTGAGACACAACAATCTTGTACAGTTTAATGATTCCAAAATACGGTTCTGTACCTTGATGTCAAAAAGCATCCGGTTTTGATGGATGGCCGAGTTCTGCCAAAGAGCTGTTCATTTCGGCTGGTCGACGAACTCATCTCGTCGATAGCGGCAGCTGCTGGAAAAAGCTAGTCTATTTGTTTAGAAGTACTATTCTCCTCATTCTATACGAGGACCAGACAAGACCTAGCCTCGAGCATTGCTGACACGTTTGTGTCGAACTTCGTACTTCCAGAACTGGCCGATACGACCGCTCCTTTGTTCTCTGGAACAATCTGCAACAGGAAGCTTTTCAGAGTTGTACTAACCTTAGGTAGTTCAGAAATTTCTTTGGAATCCTCGTAGCAGCCGCGGTGTCCTGGTATTTAGGCTTCTGCCTTACAACATAGCAACATATAAACCTTAAAATCACTAAAATTGTGTAACATTCTGAAAGGGACATAAAAATGTACATATAAGTTGATATGCTGAATTACCAAAATTGACTAATAAACATTCCGTTATCAAATCAAATATTGCTAATTGATTACGTAAATATTTATGTTCAGGCAAATAAGTGCATCCGTAAAGAAAATTAGTGCTTGCCTACGTCCATTATAAGCAGTAATAACTTATCAGCGATAAGTTTTAATATTTTTGTAAAAGTAATATTTTCCCCAATGCGTTTTCAATGTTTTCAACTAGACATTCACTTTTAGTGTAATGAAGGCATGACAAACATGGAGGATTCAGAAAGATATCAAGATATTTGTATGCTCGGGAAAGCCTTGAACGGTTTTTCCCTTATCAAATTAGACCATCTCACCTATACCGTATGCTAAACAACCTAACCTAGTTTCATGCGGAAGGGTAGTTAATCTAATTTGTATATTTCGAAAATAACTTTTGTTGAAAAGTAATCCCATAAACCACAGTTCGACGCATGATTATCGTTACTACCTCATTAGTTTTTGACTCGCAAACATAAACATGTGTGCACATTTCAAATAAATCAGAAATGTGATACAACGAGGCGTATGGCTTCAATTAGGAGCAATTTGGTTCAGATTGCAAAATATTATTCAATTTACTGTGATATGCAGACATTATCGCCTGTTTTATCGTCAGAGTGTAAGAATAATTCATTACAAAAGATAACAGGACCAAACCAGGTGCATTAGGAAATATAACATGAGTGAAATGTCATTAGGTACTTTCTTGGTATATCAGATCTGCAGAATATTCAAGGCAATATGAATGGATAAAAAATAAATTACCCCTAGAATATAAAATCCTCTCGAAGTATACTTAAAAAAAATAATTAACAAGTTCATCGTAAATAACTTTGACATGCTTGCATCGACTGTAGCTTGACTCAACTCAGTCATTTCGTTTCTATCTAATGTTTTTATTTCTTTTTTCTATATACATTTGCTCATAATATACTTTATGACCATTAGCCATGCATTGAATTTGTATATTAATTATATATATATATATATATATATATATATAAGCAATTAATATATATATATATATATATATATATATATTAGTTGCTTATAGCTTAGGTGTCTATTCTTTTGTAGTAAAAATAAATAAATAATTAAAAATTAAAAATTAAAATAAAATTTTGGTGATCAATCAGAAAAATACCTATACATTTTATAAGTTAAGTAATAGATACTGGAAGACGAAGAGAAACATAAAATTTCTTTCATAAGTAGTATGCAAATCTGAGTTAGCCGCTTTAGAGATTGCATGGGTCTTTAGGAATATTGGGCATGGACTGGTGCCAAGCTAGGACTCCTAAAAGATCGATATCTCGAAGCAAAATGTTGGAAAAGTGCAAGCTGCATTTCTATCTGCAATGACAGGTTTTTATGGAAGGCAAAAGGAATTAAAATAGGCTTTTCAGAATGGAGCTTCAGTAAAATTCCTAGTTGTTAAGAAAAAGTCTCGGAAAAAGTATCGAACAAAAAAACACATTTTCTAAAAATAATTGTCCTAATAATTCTTCCAACGTTTTAAAATAATCATTTTTCAATCATTTTCCATAAGCTCCGATTTCGATAACTCAAGTATTTTGTGCCTATTTCCTCCTACCTCTTACAAATTTTCCAAATCTTTCAGTTTGACCAAAGGAGCCCAAACAACATTGCTATTTGACTTTATCATAAGAATGCATATTACTCAGACATGATCAAATTTTACTACTTTAAAGTAGACTAGATATCTATTTTAGATAAATATGACCCAGTAATACCAAGTTTTATAGCATATTAGATACTTTCGAAACATCCAGACGCGTTTTCCAAAAATAACACAATGTCAACACCAACATCAGTCCAAAGAAAATATTAACTTAGAGAGAGAAAGAGACACATATAATTAGATATAGCTAAATGGTTATGTAATACTTGCGTTCAGGGTTAACACAGACATCAAAGGTAATAATGACCAATTTGACGTCTGGTAAAGTTGTAACGGTATGTGAACAAACAAAAACAAATGATACTCGAATAACAATGAAGCAGATTTTCCATATGTGGAGATGATCGTGGTTTCAAGCGTACCAACGTCTTCTTTTAGCTTATAAAAGCATCTTGTAGGTCTACCGGCCCGAAATGGTGGGGGAACATATTTGTTTCACGTCTAAGTCACCCTGCAGAACACAAAAATGATGACAAGTAGATTGTCTGTACTTTCCAGACTTCTAGTGCAATTTTCCATGTAGTGCAAAGACGTAGGTTTTAGTATAATATTTAGGATTTTTGTAAAAATAACGAATAAACCTTATAGTTGTGCAGAAGCTATAACAGAACCTACTTATAAAAAAATACAAATACTATTTAACTTGACCTTTCCCCTTGGGCCAACATATCCAAGTTACCTTCTAACGCCTTCATATGTTTGTCCCAAGGTATCAAATGAAAAAAATCTAGGTTGATTCATATCCCACCTATGACTCAAAGCCTTGATAAGAAATTAAGAAAAACATCATTACCACAACTCACCAAGTGACTTAAAAATCCTAGATCCTCGCAACCCAAAAGACTGACTAAAAGTTCCTCGCAATGCCTGAAAGGCTGTACATGAGAATTTTCGCGAAAACGGTTTTGGTGTTTTCATGACGACAAAATGAGCCGGGATGAAGGTTTTTCGTGGAGTGGAATGTTCAAATTCATGAAAATGGGTCAACATCCCTCTAAGGATAAACTGAACAGGACCTCCTCCGAAAGGATTGATCGACGGGAAAGATTTGGAAGCTTTGGGAAGAAAGGTAAGATGACTTCTTAGACCGCAAGTCATAAATTTTATGTACTAGGTTTTTTCAAAGTTTACCTGATATCAATCTTAATTAAATTAAAAGCAGAAGCGGGGGGGGTTGAGGGACGTTTCGAGTTCTTAAGATTTTAATTCAATCATCTGTTTCATTAAATATAGAAAGCATTGTTTGAAAGCATGCGAAATGTTTATAATGTGACATGTTTATTAATAAGGCAACAGAAGGCTAGATTATGTCGAAAGTTACCTGACAACTCCATTTCCATTATATAGAGAAAATGATATTGGAAAGCATATGATAATGATCATTAATTTACGTACATAAATATTTATCTTGTGATATAGTGAAATATGAATGGTCTTTCTTGATTTGTTCCATTTACGATACTGAATATGGTGCAAAAATATATTGAGTCTATGAATCAAAACTCCTCTAATTATGCTTGAGTCAGGGGAAATGGGGAACGTCACACGGTCACACGGATTCTTGGAGATCCGCCGGGTGGTACCCCCACCCTCGACAATCTGAGACCGTCTACCTCCTGGGATAATCGCAACATCCATTGCCAGGCATTGTTGTTGAACGATTAAAATAATCTCATATCCCCCGTTTCTCATACAAGCAATGACCGTTCGTGCTAAGCTCCATGCAAAATGCACTAATAATCCTGCAAATATAAAGTTCTCTCCCCTTGCATATATATTCTATTTTTAACTAAGCGCAGGTCTCATTGGGAAATCCAAAAAGCGCAAAAGTGGAATGCAGCAAGAAATAGTGATTGTGAAGCTTTATCGTACGTTTTATGAGCGCCGTATAATACTATGATACCGAAAATAAACACCGTTTAGACTACGTGTATAAACACAAAGAGGACGATAACGAATTTAATAGATCACCAAGCGAGTTTATTGTTTTAATGTGACGGTCTACTAAACTTTTATACATTCACGTTTTAACACCATAAATTATACACATTGTTATATGCATTGTGTGTTTTTATAGGAATAGGTAAATTGAAAGAGACGCTACTGTTGAGAAAGTTTTGCCTAGTCCCGATTATATTACGAATGTTTCCCGAAATATGGATAATCAAATAAAGAATCGTCATTGTCTATTCATCACAATTGCACTTTGAAGAAGGCCACCGAGGAGGCTCTGTGAATGTTTTATTTGTATATACAATGTGTTTGGTCACGACATACCGATATTTGAGAGGGATATTTTTCTGTTATTTTTATCGACAAATTCACCCCCTACAATGTCCTACCTCACCCCCCTTGAAATGGAGCCATACCGCTGCGAACGAAAATAGGACTGACACGGATATGGTCTGCCGCACCACAATGTGCATAACCAATAATGGAGGACATTTTGAACAGCTTCTGTAACATTAAACATGTCCAAACTCTCTATAAGAAACAGTGATTCGTCAATTTTATGTATAAAAAGTTTGAAAACAATTTGCATTCTATTACACCCATTTTAACCCATGTTAGATAGCATTTATTGCTTAACGTAGAATACTTAGGATAACAAAACGCTGTAGAATTAGCACAAAAAAAGTACAACTTCGCAGACTAGTTTTTGAACGGTGTGCACAAAATAATCAATATTCTTCCATATTTTTTTATGTTTTTGTCTGTTTTTAAGTATGTTTGACGGTTAGTATCAAAACAAGTTTTTCAGTAATCGCTAGGACAACATGTCATCGTTCAAATGATACCAAATTTATCATTCTGTGACACTTACGTACTCAGTTATTACAAATTTCATACATGCACTACCGTAATCGTAACGTAAAAATAAAAACGGCTGCCATTTCAAGGGGGATGAGGTGGGGCGGGTTTGTCGATGAAAATAGGTGAAAAATACCCCTCTCAAATATCGGTATATCGTGACCAAACACATTGTATATGTACGTGATTTTACTTTACCCAGTATCTTGAAAATAGACACATGTTTATATGAACTTTTCTAATTAAATTTTTTTCAGGAATGCGTCCTTTGAATTATTATATTTTTGGCATAGATTTGAAGTAGGAAGTGTTTCGACCTTATAAAAAATAATCAAGTATTCGTACATGAGTGAATTTTGTATAAAAGTGTCAAAATTGCGCAGATTGCGCTTTTAAAAAACAATCAATTCCTAAAACAAAAAGGATAATGTTGAAGAAAGTTTAAAAAACTTATGTTCTGAAGTATTTAAATGCAAAAATGTTATAGATGCAATCAAGTTAAAATTTGAATTATTTTCAAGATCAAAAAACCTTACCTCTGATCCCTTGAGTTCGAACTAACTGAACTTTGTGACAGATCTTGTAAAAGGAAACTATCCTAATCTGACTTAACTTGGATGAATCATATCATCTTCAAAACATGTTTTTAAAAATGGATAACCAATATTTTCAAAAGGAGTATCTAGTCTAATAGTAATGATGATAATAATAATGTAGGGCCCTTTTGCCTTTTTTCAGCTAATATTCAATAGTACGTTGAAGTATACTAAGTGACATATAAATCCGAACACCCAGTTTAAATGGTTTTATTTTAATAAAAGTTGGTGAATGTATTTATCTTACTGTAAATAACAAGTGAAAAAATGTTCAGCCTTATCAGTTGGACATTCCGGTTTTTATACTGCTTTTTTTTAATTCACTAACGCTCTAAAAATGAATATTTCAGCCGCAGTAAAGAATCAACGTTGGCGTATTTTGGTTCTTGACATCCTTTACGATCGGTTACGATGCCTAGAGTACGGAGACCTGTACGATTTCGTCAACTTAGTGAGTTTGATAGGGACCGTATAGTGGGACTTCGGGAAGCTGGAATTTCTTTTCGGGCAATTGCAGTTAGAGTGCAAAGAAGTGTAGACACTGTGGTTAGGTGTTGTCAGACATGGCTTCGAGAAGGCCGTACGCAAAGAGCAAGAGCAAGGGGCACTGGACGCCGCCGTAGAACAACAGACCGTGAAGATCGCCGCCTAAAATTATTGGCCTTAAGGGACCGTTTCTTCACTACCAGATCCATTGCAAATGAATGGTTTGCAGAACACGGAAGACCTATTGGCATGCGAAGTGTTTACCAGCGAATGAAGTTTTGGCTTGATTTCATACCGGCCACACTGGGTCCTCCCTTTAACTCGAGAACACCGACGTAATCGCCTTGAGTGGTGCAGACAACGGTCACTCTGGGATCAGGAATGGAACAGTATTGTCTTTAGTGACGAGTCTCGATTTTGTTTAGGCATGCACGATGGTCGTGCCAGGGTTAGAAGGCGACGTGGTGAAAGGAGGAATCCACAGTTTTTTATTGAAAGACATGTTCATCACACTGTTGGAGTTATGGTTTGGGGTGCTATAGCTTGTGGTTCCAGGTCACCTTTAATCTTCATCAGAGGTAACATGAACGCGCAGCGTTATATCCACGAAGTTATAGAACCCCATCTTTTACCCTATCTTGACACCCTGGCAGATCCAACTTTCCAACAAGATAATGCCCGACCACATGTTGCAAGAGTCACAATAGACTTCTTTCAACATAATGATGTCACATTGTTACCATGGCCACCAAGATCTCCCGACTTATCCCCAATTGAGCACGTGTGGGATATGATGGGTACGAGATTGCTCAATTTGCAACGTCCTCCTCAGACTCTAGAAGCACTTCGAGAGGAGTTGGTGGTTGCCTGGAATGAGATACCACAGGAGGACATTGACCACCTGATCAGAAGCATGCCTAGGCGCGTTGGAGGATGCGTAGCACATCAGGGTGCATCCACACATTATTAAAGGTCAAAGGGCTTTAAAGCAGTGCAATCATTTTGAAATTTTTATCATTTACTTATTATGCTTCATTAAGTACTTATACAAAATTTTATTAAAATAAAACCATTTAAACTGGGTGTTCGGATTTATATGTCACTTAGTATATAATAATCATGTCTTCCCTTGTATTCTACATACGCATACAAATATGCACAATGAGGCTTTCTAATTTCTGTTGCATTCCTTTTTTTGTCCTCTCTTGTCTCTCAAAATTATCTGCTACTAACGAAGTGCAAGTAATCGTCAAGCAATTTTAAGGAGTCATTCACACGTGTGCTCATATTTCGTCATTCTAAAGAGATCTCTTTGATCCCGCATTCGAGTGTAACCATAATTATTTCACCGTGTTAGCAAGTTGCCAGACAGATTTAACATTTCGCGTGCAATTTTTAGCACTTGCGTTATTAGAGTTGTGTGAAACTTGCATGGTCACCCTAACCGTCACGTTTTACTCAAATAGGCTACTTAGTCAGCCTCTAGGTTGAAGTAAAGTATTAAATTAGAGCATTTGTTCTCTAAGGAACTTGGGCATCACAATGGAAGGTCGTACATATATACAGCAGGGCTATGGAATGGGTACCTTGTAGGTAAAAATCAAGAGAGTTTCCTCGTTAATAAAACTGATTAGTGTCATTTCATTCATGCTTGAAATCTGTTAACAAAAAACTTTAATAATAATAGCAAGATTACTAATTATGCTAGTTTAAAATGATGGCGAGTAGGGTTCAGATTAGCTGGGTCAGAGGATAAAAACAGCACTTGCTCCTTTTCGTGATGTCCAGCCTTTAGTGAAGTTTAACACTTTGACAGTCTGTAGTTAGACGTTATAATTAGTCACAATGATGTTTTGATAATATACTATACTCAGACAATTTAACGTATTTAACTCAAATAAACTTTACTCGTGGACTGTATTTTTCTCCATCTTCTCTTCTTCCACGCTGTCGCAACGTATTGTAAGTTCTACGCAACTTGTGTAAAAACAAATCTGGGTAGAGAAAATCCAAAAATTATCAGACTCATTCGCTGCTATGCAAACCTTTTTGGCGATTTAAAATTTGAATCCAGGATCTATTCTACTCATGATTGATCAAGTCATCCGAGTTATTTACTTCGGCGCTTATCAGCAACCTAATTTTGTTATACAGGGTGTTTCAGTTTATTGTTGCATAACTTTAAGATTCGATAGAACTTTTAAAATTAATGCATAAAGTCTATATAAACATGGGTCGAAAAATGCGTGGCTTCCGAAATACAGGGTGTTTAAATTTACTTTCTAAAATAGTTTTTTTTTAATTATTCGAACAATATTTTATGTATAACAGTGAAAATTGGTATACAAGGGTTTTTTGGCACGACAAAACGAACCATGGGCATAGTTTTACTGTAGCCGCTAGAGGGCGCTCTCTACTGTACCTGTAGTGTATTAAAATGACCGAAAATTTTTTCTTAGTGCTATTTTTCGCTTTTTGAATAAAAAAACTGATTCTTCGCACTTTTCAACATAAAAAAGCTCTCTTGTGAATTTTCGTTATAGTTAGCCGTTTTTGAGATATTTCGATTTTTAAGGTTCGATGCATTTTTAATTATTTACGATAAAATAACGCTAAAAAGTCAGTATGTCGATAATTTTTAGAAGTAGGCTGTGCCTACAAATATTTTTGAAATTGAAAGCTGAATAAGGTTAAACGTCAATTAGTTGACAGTTAGTTTTGTTGTCTGTTGAAACCTGAAACGTTTTTTTGAAATTGTGAATGCACGAAATTTAGTTTCTTTAACCTGTTTTCTTTTTTGTAAGTTTTATAAAAATGCCATTTTTATTCTCCAATCAAGAGTTAGCGGATATTCATTTTGTGTATGGCTTTGTAAATGGAAACACAGCAGAAGCAGCCAGAGAATACGCACGAAGATTTCCAAACAGACGACATCCAACTCGCTCAGTATTTGTAAGAGTGCATCGCCAAATAATTGAAAATGCTTTTGGAAATCTCCAAAGGGATCAAAACATAAATGTTCGTCAGCGCAGATTTACCCGTATGATTCTGCGTGAGTTTGTTAGAGATCCGACCACAAGTGTTAGGAGAGTTTCTGGTGCCTTGGGAATTTCAGCAAGCCATGTTCACCGTGTTCTTAGAAATGACCATAGACGTCCTTACCATTTGCAACCTGTGCAAGGACTACAGCCAGGAGACGGAGAACGAAGAATCACATTTTGTCAGTGGATTCTTGATAGAACTGATAATAATAGGGAGTTTTTATGTAACGTTTTATGGACCGATGAGTCATGCTTCACTAGACGTGGAGCGGTAAATTTTCATAATCAACATATTTGGTCGCATGAAAATCCGCATGCAAGAAATTTTCATCATGAATTTAGTGTGAACGTGTGGATTGGGATCTACCGTAATCGACTATTTGGACCGTACCTTTTACCTGCAAGGTTAAGTGCTGCGACCTTCTTGGAATTTTTAAAGGCTGAACATGCAAATATGTGGGATGATGTTATGTTAGGTTTAATAAGATTGGCCTGGTTCCAGCTTGATGGTTGTCCAACTCATTATTCGACAATAGTTAGAAGCTGGCTGGACGAAAATTATCCAGAAAGTTGGATCGGCCGTGGAGGACCAGTTGCCTGGCCTCCACGATCCCCTGACCTAAATCCATTAGATTTCTTTGTGTGGGGATTTCTAAAAGAAAAAGTGTACCAGACTCCCGTAACCACAAGAGATATGCTAATAGACAGAATCAGGAATGCATGTGATGAAATAAGGCCTTATTTGAATAATGCTATAAGACGTTCGATCATTCGTAGATGTGCATTGTGTATTAAACAGTTGGGTTTACATTTCGAGCAACTACTTTAGATTTTGTATGTTTGTCCTAACTATCCAATAGCATTTTAGTTGTAAATAATTCATTTAATTTGTTAAAAATAATATTGGAAAATTAAACAAATTAATATTCTGTTTTTTTGTGTTTATTTGGAGTTAGGAATTATTGCTGTGTTTAAAAACACAATCTAAACGATCATCTTAATTACTTGTAATGCCCAAATCGAAAATGTAAAAAAAATATTATTTTCCCATAAATACCTAATTAAAAATGCATGGAACCTTAAAAATCGAAATATCTCAAAAACGGCTAACTATAACGAAAACTCACAAGAGAGCTTTTTTATGTTGAAAAGTGCGAAGAATCAGTTTTTTTATTCGAAATGCAAAAACTTGCACTAAGAAAAAATTTTCGGTCATTTTAATACACAACAGGTACAGTAGAGAGCGCCCTCTAGCGGCTACAGTAAAACTATTCCCATAGTTCGTTTTGTCGTACCAAAAAACTCTTGTATACCAATTTTCACCGTTATACATCAAATATTGTTCGAAATATTTAAAAAAAAAACTATTTTAGAAAGTAAATTTAAACACCCTGTATTTCGGAAGCCACGCATTTTTCGACCCATGTTTATATAGACTTTATGCATTAATTTTAAAAGTTCTATCGAATCTTAAAATTATGCAACAATAAACTGAAACACCCTGTATACTCCGTTATTACTGCCTCCATATTGAACTTATACAAAACACAGTTCCTAAGTTTCCTAACAGAATATAGCTTAAAAAGTAACGTACGTAGTAAAGTCCCATCACTTTACGCCACAGTTGGTAACAATAACCCGTTCAAGTCACCTACTACGAGTAAATGGCATTCTTTCGGAGCCGATAACTTCAGAGATGGTCTGAGCTAAATGACTTGGAATGCAGAAGACAAAAGACTTCGTCTTATCGAGGTCAAGGTACAGATTTCCTTCTCATCCGTTTATAACAAGAACTCTTCTTGTGGAGGCCTGTAAAAAGTCTCTTGAAATAACATGCGAGTTCTCTCTCTGGAAGTTTTCATGCCATGCGTGATGATCTTGCTCTTTTCTGTAAATGGCTGTAATCGAATAAACTCGGTAAAACAAAATATTTCATTTTTAAACAGAAAAATAGACTAGTTGAAAACTTTTGTATGAGAATAAATAACCTCAAAGTACAAAAAGTATCCAGCATCAAATACCCGGGTTCAAGTATAGATGAGAATGTGAATTGGTGTCTAGTCACACTATTTCTTTTTTATACACAAATATATGTTTTCTATTTGGAACATGTGTGGTAAAATTGAATTTCACAAAGCATGAGTTTCGCAAAATGGAATATTAAGAATTTTGTTCGACTATGACCGACTTGCCAACACGGATTATGTACACAGAATTGAATGAAATAAATGATACGATATCACATAATAATTTGTACCAGTTTCCTACTAGGACTAACATTGGATTAAATAACTCTATCACTGATGCAGTAAAAACATAATAATGTGCCAAATAGTGTAAAGGATGTGCATTTATCCAGAAATTCTGTAAAAACACTCAAAATTCACTTGAATTATCGTTAAAATTCGCACTATAGATACTGTTGTTCGCGAGACACAAATTAGGGAACTTTGTGTACTATAAAATTTGGAAGAAGTGACTTTTGAATAAAGTTTTCTTTTCAAAAAAAAATCTTATTGAAACAAGACTTTGTGTAAGGTCAGCCGAATGTTTACTTCTTCTTTTTTTACCTTTCAAAGGTGAGAGCACGACTCTTTTATATTAAGCAGCCAAGTAAGCAGATACCTAAATACCGGAGCATCATAAAATGCAGTCGACCATGATTAGGATTGAGCCCAGACATGTATAAGTGTATATCTCACAGTGGAGGCCCAGAAAATAAATACCGTTGTGTACCAATATCACTTTTAAACTAAGATTAGAGGAATCAAAGAACAGGCGCCAATTATTTGGATCATGTTTCTGTCCTAACGCGTCAAACAAATTGTTCACATCGGAGCAATATATCAACTCCCTCTCTTGATGGAAACAGTATGTGAGGTCTTGTTGCCGTTTTCGGTAAAAAGTAATGTTAACATCACCGTGGAGAAGATTTCATCCTTTTAATCTTGACGCTAGAAGTTTTGACTCTAATTTTGACAGATTTAATTCTCGAATCAAGTCATTAAGTTCGCCATGCGTGATCAAATGCGGCGCTGTTGAGAATCCTGGCAGGTCAAATGAAGGATCGGAAATTTTTACGCTTTCTGTACCATCACTTTCGAATCGGTGGATTCGACTTTTTCATCCAAAGACCAAGATTCTGGTGGAACTGGGACAGAAAGTTCATCACTATGCTCAACGGGCCGCAAAGCTGATGGTTAATTTAAATATTTAACAGTATGTTTCAATTTTGGTCCAATACCTTTAATATTTGTGAGGCAAAAATAGCAATGAGTAGTACGGTCTCTGGGTTCTCTCCAAACCATTGATACCGCAAATGGTATTTTACGATTGTCGTCTCTTAACCAACCTGTTAACAACGTTACACAAGTCTTACAACATATATGAGAGGCCCCTAGCTTATCTTGGTCGCCAACTGTAATTCCAAAATAAAGTTCGTATGCTTTCAACAAAAGGGGAGTACGTTTTTGGGATTTAAAAGTTAGCTCTCCGCACACATAACAAAAACTGTTCGCACTATTTACACAATTTCTAGGCATTGCCCATAAATTTAGTCTCGATCACAATAAACTAAAAACAACACACCATTTGAACTAAAATTGACAGTAGTACTCAGAACATCTGAGTACTCTTCAACACAGAAGACGTAACTGACTCGGCTGCTATTAGTCCACTAATAAACGCCATATCGTCGTCCATACCGCAGACAGGCGTATCTGACAAAAAATCAAATTCGAGTTAACGGATTCAAATCAACAAGGTATAGCATATCTTCAATCCCGCAAAGTGGCGTAACGCTAAGTAGTTCGCTCATAGAGATATCAGCATAAAACTAAACGTCGTATCTCTCAGAAATGAAATACAATACACCGCAAATAGGCGTAAATGAAGATACACCTACATGCGGTGTCCATTTTTTGCTACTCTCTCAGTGGTAACTTAGATATGTCCTTTTGACTTACAGAATACATAATGTTTTGTCCGAATTGAGTCACACCTCATCTGAAAGCGATCCCTTTGCTGCAGTCGAGATTTATAATCCGGAAGATCCGGACTATCATCAAACTTGTGAAGTTAAAAGCTGTAAAGGAGATGTGTTCAGTTCCTGCTTTCAATGCTCAATTTTGTTATGTTGGAAGCATTTTGAAGATGATACCCTATCCTGCCAGGACGGACACAGGACAGTACAGAGCAGTGTACTTAGCAAAGAGAAACAGGAAGAGAGGCGCCCTGAAGATTTTTTTGTAGAAGGTTCCCAGGCAGAAGGTGATAGGAAAAAAAAGTCAAAGAAGATAAAAGAAGAATTGCAAAAACGTTGAGGAGTCAAGGCGAAACATATATTTCGCCTGTAACTAAGAAAATTGTGAAGGAGAAAGCGCTTTTGTATTATCTGAAAACCCAAAACATAGAACTACAAATAGCAATGCTCCACGCCGTTAGCAAACACATTATTTTTTCTTACCTCTAGAAGGTATCCGACAATTAGTTTGTTAAAAAATGTTCCTTGGGACCCTTGGGATAAGTGAGAAAGTTTGCAGAACCGCAATAAAGAAATTGAATAGAATAACGAGTGTGCTAGAAAAAGAAAATCGTGGAGGTCGACGGGAGTTACAATCATCAAGAGACATAGTCATTAGAAAAAGTATTATAGAGTACATAAATAGGTTCCCCAGAGTAGAGTCACATTACTGCCGGAAGTCCTCAACTAAACAATACCTACATGAAGATTTATCTCTGAGTACAATGTATCACATGTACAAACTGGAAGACCAACAAACAAAGGGAAGTTTTTCTTTGTATAGAAAAATTTTCAGATCCATGAACTTCTCATTTCACAAACCAAAAAAAGATCAATGTGGTCTTTGCAAGTGTTACAGAGAAGGATCGGAAGAAGTAAAGGCTAATTTGGAAAAGGAGTACTTGGCCAATATTTTAGAAAAGGAAACGGTAAGAGAAATAAAGAATAGCTGCAAAGAAAAAGCTAAAAATGATACAAAGGTGCTATGCTTGATCTCCAACAAGTTATATACTTAAAAATTTCTAATCATTGTTCCGTATTTTATAAAACACGGCTTGCTGTCTACAATCTAACTATCTATGAAGTAGCATCTCGAGAATGTTTTTGTTATACATGGAGTGAGACTGAAAGTAAACGTGGTAGCTCGGAAATATCGACTGCTGTTTATTTATTTATTTCCGAAAAACACAAACAAGGCTACAATACTGTTGACTTATTTGCTGATGGTTGTAGTGGCCAAAATAAGAATTCGATAACGGCTACCACTCTTTTATATCTTGTCAGTAATTGCTCAAACGTTAAAGAGATATCGTTAAAAATTTTTGCCTCTTGTCATGGACAAAATGAAGGCGATTCAGCACATAGTGCAATAGTTACCCTTTGAAAAATGCAGGTGAAATTATTGTGCCGAGCCAGTTATTGCCAGTCTATGCATTAGCAAGGAAGAAACAGCCATATAAGGTTCGTCCCTTAGACTATCGTAATTTTTTTGACCCCAAAAAACTCGCATCAGACTTAAGAGTATTATCTATTCGAAAAGATGATAAAGACATGGATGTGAATAGGAAAAATATGATGGAATTCAATGTGACAAGTGATAATTGCAACAAAATCTATTTCAAGACTAGCCATAAGCAAACAGACTACAGGTCCATAACCTTGAAAAGAAATGTTTCCGATATTTAAAAAAAAAGAGCTGTCTCCTCTGAATAGCGACCTATGAAAAATCACAAATAAAAAATATAATGATTTGACCTCACTTTGCCAAGGCGATAGGCCTGCCATCACTCTACCAGAACATCAACGTTTTTATGATTCACTACCTCATGAGGGCCAGCCATAAATGTTTTTGTTTGAAATCATCTTCTCATTTTTGTTCTGTATTATCCTTGAGTTGCTTGAGTATTACTTACATCTGAGAATAAGGTGTTTTTTATTTAATCTAATTTTATTCTATATGGAGTGAAAGGCGTATCTTCAAACCGCTAGACTATTGTAATTGTCAAGGTTACCGCAAAGAGGCGTATCTAGAAAAAAAATATAAAAAACATGTTTAGCTGAGAATATGAATTTCCTTTCCTCTATATACTTCTCAGAAGATGATGAACACACTTTTTAGCTATGTTATTGGAAGAAATTATGCTCATATTGTCTAAAGTAGTAAAGATATACGAAATCAAATAACTGTCGATATTCATTTTGCTTCTACTGAAAATTTATATAAAATCAGTTACGCCTGTTTGCGGTACGGACGACGATATGCTCTCTAAACATAGAGCTCGCATATAATAAACAGGAATAGACAGGTCTTAACATTATATATGTGCTTTATCACATAAACTTCGAGAAATGCAGCAATATGAGATGTTACGTATTGAAATTCATAAAAGTAGATGTTACCGAAAAATTCTGTTTTTAGATTTGATTTAAGGGTCTCAAAATACATAAGACACATCCAAAAATTGTCGTGTCACAAATCCTGTGTTTATCAGTGGAATTGATTCAATGGTTGGATTTTTATGAATATTACCTAACCCTTAGAAACTATTCAAAAAGTTGTTGTGATAAATTCATGACTGGGTGTTCTTTTTTATATTATTTACTTATTTAATCAAACGGTAAAGCCCTTGTTACAGATACAAAACAGTCTTCATTAAAGAATTGCATTGTATCAGATAAGTAACTACTTATCAAATTCAAGAGCTGACCCTGCATACAAATACCATACTTGTAAAGTTTGAAGAACACTATCGAACGGTTAACCCGATCGAACCCTTTAGAAAAAAAACAAATAAACAGAGTCCACCTGCTGACGTTGCACAATTGAATTGCACAAATAGTTACTGTATAACATCAAGTTGGTCGAACTTGACTTACCCTGACGAGAACCATGCTGCTGATGCTTTTAAATTCATTTTGAAGAGATCTATTCATCAAGCAATCCGTCAATCTTGGGATAGATGAATACATACCGCACGATAGTTTTGAACAACATTTTTAACCTGACTTGAAATTGGGAGTTAAAAAGCTTTGTTTCCAGTCTGTAGTGATTACAAGGTATATATTCAGCATATATGGGCATTCGGCATTAATTGACAGCTTTGATTTAGAATCATCTCCATTTTTGACGCGGTTTTTGTTCACCGAACTGTGAAAAGAACCTGAATGCATCCATTGACCAACTTCTTAAGGTACCCTTACGTCGTTAAGCAATGATGAAATCATAACACTTATCACTGTTATCAGTTATTACCGCAGCACTTGAATCACGAAGAAAACGATGCAGAGAAAATTGAATGATGCGGACAACAAATATGCTAAGTGCTCATTTTGTATGCTTCATTGGTAGTCGATGCAGTGCAAGTCAGGAATTACAATTTACTGGTGCAGAACAGTGCCTTTGGCTACTGAAGAATTTCCATACTGCGGGGCTTGTTCTTATTCGAGCTTGAACAAAGAGACGGACTAAAGCGTGAAGGGGTGGTGGCATTCTTACGTAGAAAGTTCTATTTTTCAAACTCTAAACAATGTTCCTGTAATCAAGTGTAATAGTTTTCAATCGCTTATTTGCTAGTAATAATTATGTGTATTTCTGCAGTGCTAAGCACAGTTAACCTGAAACTGAGGAAAAGCCTTTCATTTTAAAATGAGCGATATATAGGGACAAATTTCTTCTATCAAAGCTACCGTATTACCTAATAGATCGTTTTGCTGTAGTTCTTCTGAAATCTTATTTGGAGAAAGCACAACAGTTCATCGAATACAATGGTTGTACACCTACAGTCAACACAGTTTTGCGTGGCGTGCCACAAGGATCTGTCCTTGGCCCTTTGCTGTTCTTGATTCATATAAACGACCTACCAAATTGTCTTTCTAATATCTTGAACAGTGAGCTCATTCTTTCAACAGCAAGACGTCAGCCAGTATATCTAGCAGTCAAGCTTTGCTTATAGCTAACAAATTATCATTAAATTCAAACAAATCTCAATCCATGACAACCACACTTCGAAATATTGATCACAATGATGACCACGCTCACTTACCTTTTTGGCTAAAGGATGTAAGACTTCAGTCCTTTGTCGTTAATTTTAACAAATTGTCTCTAGGCTCTTCATAGCATCCGCGGTTCCCCGGTGCTTAATATAATAATAAGCTCCATTCTGGGTTGCACCTCTCCTGCAAGTCAGATCCGAACCGCTCCCTAAAACTTTTTATACGCAGAAACAGCATGAAATCGCATAGAATTTCCAGACGCCAAATTATCTTCGTCTCAGTCTTTTATTTTCGTACCTACCGCTGAATGTCGACAAGAAAGGTGTGGCAAGCATTGCATGAAATTTTTCGGTTTAGTGAGGTGTACAAAATTGCGCCTTCGCTATCGTCACGGTGAATCTACGTATAACAGTAGCTGTTTTATTTGTGCAATTTGTAAGATTGGCCATGAATTCGGTATAAAATGTATACTTTAACATTGCTTAAAGTCAACACACGTTATGCTTGGATCGTCTTATTACCTTTGATTTTAGGATCGTATATCTAGTGTAAACTGGTACTCCAGCGTTTCCTTATAGTAAAATCAAAGTTGCACTGGTGCATATTATATGAAAAAACAGTGTATACCTATGTCGTGGTCATACCGTTTAATTGACCATTTGATGAAACGATCGAGCAATTCATGAAATGGCCAACTAAATTTGACCATATCGTCAAAGTTTAACGATCTGGTAATTCACTGTTGACCATATCGCTAAATCGTCAACGTTTAACAGTTTGGTCAAACATGACTGACCATATCGTAAATATGGTCAATAGGTATCCAGAATTTTTTACGAACTCATTTATTGTTCTCTGAGTACGACATTCATTTTTGTTAAAGCTAGAAACTTAATTAAATTGAAATAAAATATGAAGTTATACATATTAAACACTATTAAAATACGTGAAATTGTCACAAATTAAATTTTTGAATACATCAAACATCACAAATTAGGTTAATATCTTGCGTGGTCTCCCTACTCTTTATTTGACGTATAACCTGAAAATGAAATCAAAATTAAGATGAGGTTCACATTCCACATACGCAGAACAATCAAAGACAATATTTTATTTGCAACAATATTCACTTCTAATAAAATAATATAATATACTAAGTGACATATAAATCCGAACACCCAGTTTAAATGGTTTTATTTTAATAAAAGTTGGTGAATGTATTTATCTTACTGTAAATAACAAGAGAAAAAATGTTCAGCCTTATCAGTTGGACATTCCGGTTTTTATACTGCTTTTTTTTAATTCACT